AATAATAAAAGTAAATTTAATAAAAAAATGACTCAAATCAGGTAAGTCTATAAAAAACAAAACATTAATAATAAAAATACATACAAATACAGTAGAATATAAAACAATAATTAAAGTGTAGCTAAAATGTAAAAGTTAATAAAATCAAAAGAAGATAAACAAAACAAAAGGAGGATAAGATCAAAAAGGAAACTAAAAATGTATTTAAATGACTAAAATAATCATAATTAAAATAAGAATAAGAATATGAATAATAAATAAATAAATAAATAATAAGATAATGAAAATAAGACAATAATAGTAAAAATCTAGTAAAACATCTGCAGGCAGGATGGAGGTGGTTAGAGAGTGAAAGTTTAAAATGACCGAGTGAGACCAGCGAGCTGAGCTTTAGTGTTTCCTGTAGAGAGTTCCAGCTCTGTAAGTAAGGGCAGATTTTCCCAGTTCAGTAAAAACTCTCGGTACCTGGCATGTGATCCAACCACTGGAGGGAGTCTGATAATTACCATTATTTACAGACATCATTGAAGTAATATATGCTGGCATATGACCGGAGAGTGTTTTATAAATAAAAATGAATCAATGTTTCCCGCCGTGCTGCTAGTCAGGGCCAGCCAACTTTTTCATACAGTCTGCAGTGATGAGTGTTATATGGGTCTCCAGCAATGAACTTCAGTGCAGAGTGATAGACTGAGTCCAGTGATTTGAACTGGCAGATGCATGTTTGTAAATTACATCACTGTAGTTCAAGACAGATGGGGAAACAGAATTTATTTCTATATAGATAACCAAGCTTCTGTCTACATCTGTCAAACAATTTATTAATATGGGAATTAAAAGTGAGTTTATCATCCAGCCATATGCCAAGGTACTCTGTGTCTCTTTCAGTGTTGGATTCGGCCAGGGTAGTGATATTTACAGTATTAAAATATTCAGTATTAGTAGATCTGGAAAAGAGCATGAACTTTAGGGCATTAAATGAGCATTGCAGTTTTCTTATTGCAGCATAAACAGAGTTATCTGCATACAGGTGCATTTGAATCAAAACCAATCTTTTCTAAGTTCCTTAAAAGAAGAATGTGATCAACTATATCCAATGCCTTTGATAAATCAATAAAAATGGCAGCACAATGCTTCTTCCTGTCTATGGCCATATAGAGCTCATTTAAAACCAATGTGGTAGCACAGATGGTGCTCTGTCTTTCTCTAAAGCCAGATTGATAATTAAACAGGACAGAATTTTCGTATAGAAATTATTTAAGTGGAATATTTAAATTTTAGCTAAACAGGACAATTTTCAGATTGGTGTGTAGTTATTTACATCTGCTGTCTCACCACCTATATGTAGTAGAGTTCTATGAGCTATTTTCCAGATCCGGAGAATTCTGCATGATAAAACAGAGAGATTAAAAATATATATTATATATTCTAAAATAATTGGTGCTGCTAGATGCAGGAAGTAAGGGTCCAGCCTATCTTCACCAGTAGTTTTTCATGGAGTAATTGTAGTAAGAGATTTAGCTACCATGTTTGAAGAGAAGGGCTGGAGTATGAAGAGACCATGGCTCTGGGTAACAATAGAGTTGGTATCAGTTTGACCTAACAGCAGATTCGAGTCAGTATTTTCAAAAATGTGACCAGCTGCAGCAAAATGTTTGTTAAAAACTCTAGAGTTTTCTCTTCTAGCAGCTCTACCAGCTTTTGAAAGCTTGAAAATTAGAAAAATTTAAACTTGAACCATTATGTTGTTGGGTACATGCATTACCTCGTTTGCTGATTCTGTTTCCTGATCATAGATAAGGATGAGGGGAACATTTTTACTTTAAAAAGTCTCAGAGTCAGGAGCTGTCTCAGAGTCTCAGAGCTAGCCACTCAGAGGTGATACCCAGTCTCATTGGTGTGCTTTTCACTGCAGCAAAATCACACAGAACCAAGCAGAAGCTCCTCAGCATGGCAGGATTTATTTGCGGTTTCAAATTAAACTTAATATAAAATAAAATAAGGAGAATTTGGGTAGCCGTAGGGTGGAAAAAAGAGGAAAACAAAAGATATTTTTCTCTTTCTCTGACATCCTCGTGCTTCTTAAAGGCATATGGAACCTATTTCCCCACAAAAACATTCTACATTATAGCCTCAAACTACATTTTAACATTAAAGAACATATTTTTGTCATATATACAGCACCCTCAACAATGATTGGCACCCCTCATTAAGATGTGTTAAAAGCCTTAAAATAAATTCAATTTTTATTTCAGAAGCATAATCTCACACTAAAAATTGTAGAAAAATGTAACCTTTAACTCAAGTGAATTTAAAAAAAAAACTAATCCCTGACTAAGAAATCATTATTTTTCATAAAATCACCTGTTCCAAAATTATTGGCACCCCTAACAGTTCCTAGAAAATGTATGTAATTGAAGCATTTCTGTCATTTCTACTGTAGTTTATAAAGTTGATCAGAGTATCTAGGAACCTTTAATTAGTAATTCATCACTTCCTG